ACCGTTCTCCCAAGGCAAGGAAACGCCATCTTCAGGTGGGGCAGCTGAGTTTTCTGAGCATGAAAGAGCAAGAAAGGCCCAAGTTCGAAGATGTTTGGGTCAGGGTGCCCAGAGTGTTCTGGTCTGAAAACTCCACTCCTCACCAAGGGTCAGGCTGCTGATCTTGCATCTCCCTCCTGACAGGAACCAGCTGCTACAACTTCTCCACTTCTTATTTTTCAAAAATATTTTAAACCATCCCTGAACGAGGCAAAACCACAAAAAGCAAAGACGAAGCAGGGCTGGGAGGACATCAAGCCACCAAGCCAGCCCCACGGGAAGGCAACACAGCACATCGGGACGCCTCAGGGGACACTGAGAAGAGATGAAGGCAAAGGAGCTTCACATGCAGGGAAAAGGCAGCATGGCTGGATTCCCAGCTCCAGCAGTGAGCTGGCAGGCAGGAGTAGGGGGGCCGAGTCACTCACTTTTTAAGCATATTTCCCTCTCCCTTGCCCTTTACAGCCCAAGGGCTGGGCACTACCTGCAGCAGGTTGCACAAATACAACCTCCCGCTGAGTGCAACGACCCAGCCGTGGGTTTTGCTTGTGCTTCACTCCATCGTCTCACAAGGCACCCATGACAGGAATTGCCAAGAGACAGACCCCCTGCCGGCACAGGAGCCAGGCTGGAGGGAGCAGCAGTGACGTTTGTCAGAGCCCAGGAACAGAAAACGGGTTTCAGATGGGCCGTGGCAGAGCAGCGTAGACACAGAGGCTGCAGCGCAAGGCTCAGCCAGCCCCTCTGCCCCGCTGAGCATCACTCCTCCCACGCTGGGCATCTCCCACAGCACCCACGTCAAATGCTACTCACCTCCGGGACAAACCTCCACAGCCCAGGCTAGATCCCTGGTTATTTGATCGAGGAGAAAGCAGACAAGCTGCATTATGCCTGCTCCAGGCCCAGCACCATCCACCCTCCCCATCTCTTCCCCAAACAGCCAGGTATCAACAGTTTTATTAAATCCCACTTTTATTTTTTCCCCTTCTTGCCCTTGACCAGAGGGTTTACAAGCAAGACCAATGTGGGCAAGCCCTTAAATTCAAGCAACACGACTTGCTTGTAAGTCGCCACACCCCGCACCCTCCCTGGCACTGTTTCGCACCACAGCCGTGCAGCACCCTGCCAAGTCATCGGCTTTCCCCGGGGCTGCTCTGAAGGTCCAGCTTACATAAGAAGGAACAAACTAGCTTTTCTTCGCCACCCGTTCAATGCTGCCATTCATCTCCTGCCCTCCATCCTCCCAGTGCCACCTTGAGGGATCAAAACACCCAGCCAAAACAGTTCATCTCACACCCAGGGTAAATTTTGTTGTCTGTAAGTAACGGGCCCACAATTTTGTCCCTCTAAACTCCAAGTGAATTAAAGGGTTAAGGTAAAAATGACTGAGAAGCAAAGGTACCCATGTGTTAAGGACACTCTGTACCCTGGCAGAGCCATCTCACTGTTCAAAAAGCAAAGAGCTCTGAGGCCTGATAATCCTTCCCTGGAGGACACAAGGGCTGCAGGGCCAGGTCACACGCATCCCACCGTAGCGGTGAATGCAGCATCAAACAGCAAGGGACCAAATCCGTTCAATGGTTGTATAAAGACTTTGGCTCCAACGCTGAGCGAGCACTAAAGCTGGTCTCAGTTCTACCCGTCTGGAAACATCTTGGTCAAACCCCAGGTTATTTTTGCATCTGTGCATCGGTTCTGCCTGGTTAGAGACTCCGTGCTGACTTTGGCCAAGTGGTCAGCCCCAGGGAAAAGTAAGCCAGGAGGGGAACAGGATGTAACTTTGCAGGCTGAGCGAGAAATGACAAAGCCAGGTTTATTCAGACACAAATTGGCTGCTTCAAAGCATTTTTCCAACTCTTATAAAATCAGAACCAGCATCATAACCATCTACACTCCAGGACTTCTAGCCTTCTGACTTGAGGCCAGCACGGATGCATACCGCCTGCCCTTTCCAATCATTCTGCCATTATTTGTCAAATACCAAATTCCAGCTACTTTAGGAAAGCAGGGGGGAAGGAAGCATGGCTGGTTGAACTCTTTGTCCTTCTCTCCCTCTCACCCTCCCCCTCTGGCCTTTTACATCATCAGAACACAGCAAGAAACCCACAAAAAAAGCTGAAGGCTACATCCCAGTTCTGGCAACCCAGTGGTCTTACCACAAAGCTCAGCGCAGCCTGGATCCCCTTTGACTTCTTAACAATACATTCACAGCGATGGAAGGGTGAGGAAGGAGGGCTTTAAAAGAGCAGAGCAGCAAAGGAACAAGCTATTTTGAACCCAGAAGCCATCCACTGCAACACGAACCCTCTCCATCTGAGCTTTACTGCTCCTCCCGGCGAGCGCTTTGAAGCACAGCAATGGGAAACAGAGAGAAAGCCAAGAGCTCATTGGTCGTGTATGGGTCTACAAATACGAAAAATGTTTTATATGTTAGCAAAGGCTGGACTTGACAGACTGAAAGAAAGTACAGAAGACAGACTCCTCAGTGGCCTCACGCCATCCATAGATTCTCCTGACCGCAGCTCTCGGGGAGGCTGGCGAAGCCGCTGGATGCAGGCAGCTCGCTGAACCTTGCACATGGGGTGTTTTGGACCTTAGCATGATGCAGGGAGGAATTAGCACATGATGCTGGAATTTATCTCCTTAACCCAGCTTTGGATGGGGAGAGAGGAGTCAATGTATTCAAAGTCTGCCTTCTCTAGCCAATGTCCACAAGAGAAGGGAGGGCTTTTTCTTCTATTGTGGTTTAATTACGAGGCAGCCATAAGGAGAGGATAGGCTCTCCCATCACACAGAGCAGCTGCTGGGCAGGATTTGCAGCCATTTTGCACCTTCTCTGCCAAGTGCACAACCAGGACCTCGCTGCCAGAAACGATGGCAATGCTCTGCAACCCATTCCTCCTCATCTCCCGAGGACTGACTGACAGCTGGTGACCTTGAAAAGATGCACCTGGACTCTTGCCCGGGGACAAGCCATGGCCATGAATCACAGGACAACTGCAGCTGAGGAGGCAGCAGCTGGTCTGCAGGGCGAGCTGGCACCACGGGCGTACGCTGGCCAAGCACTGGTCGGAGGGGCAGGAAGCGACAGGAGCAGATCCAGAGGTGCAAGGGGAAGCAGCTGGAGGGAAATTCACATGGCATCTGCGCTACAGTCCCAGGTGCCCACGTCTACACATAATAAACATCAATTAAATTTAAATTAAAAAAAAACACAAACCAAATACTTTGTAAAGACAAGAGATGAAAACATCCGTGCTGTATCTTTGAAAAGTGCGATGAAACCACCCTGAAGAAATGTAAATGTAGAAGGAAGCAAGAGGCTCTCGGGATTACTCATTACAGGGGACGAGATTCTCAACATCTTTCTGTTTTGCAGTAATTAGCTGGTAACTGGGAAAAAAAATGAACAGATCAACACTTTTCTATTATTAGTTTTAAATAATGACTCAGAAACACGCACTTCCTTCTTTCCCAAGCTGTGAAGAGCTAAGCACTAAGACCTCGATCATGGCTTCAGGCTCATTTAAACTGCACATATCTCTGCACAAATTACAGGAAAGCAGTGTGAACAGCACGAAAACCAAACCCTTTGTTTCAAACGTAACTACTAGCAATTACCTTTCATTTATAGGTTAAAATGCTTGATACAGCATATTTACTAGTAAGAGCACACAATGCCAAGCAAATGTACGCATACAGATATTGGAGAAGCAAGGAGAGAAAGGGGAAACATCACGCCTGCTGATGGCCTCAGAGGGAAACTGAGTAAAAGGCCAATATAAAGAAATCTGCCCAAAATACAAGGCTGCCTCCCTCCCAGGGCCTGACCCTGGACTTTAATCACTGATACCATCCAGAGCCCAGGGAAATAATTAAGCATTTCAGCTCTAAGAGAGATGCCTGCCCAATCTGCTAAGCAGACAGTTTTTGCACAGCAATTCAGAGAGAAAAAGAGAAGCAGATTCAGCTGATGAGACACAAGAAGTGTCTCCAAAAGCATTAATTTCCTCTGGGAAGCAGCCCACGTGCTCCTAGCACAGGGGGTAACCATCACTCCTAGCAAAGCAGACAATTCGATCCACATCAGTCACTTGGAATAAGCAGAAAGGCAGCAGATGAGGATGAGCAGTAGCTGGCACTCTGAAAAGAAATTAATTTTGAGTTCCCCTTAATGCCTGCTCATTGAAAGAAACCTTTTGGAGATTCTTCCTGAGGGATAAGCACCTGCATCCCTGCCACGACCCCTTAAAAGCATGCACAGGGATGAGGACACAGCACGGTTCTTAAGGCACCCGCACTGTTCACAGCGGGAACCAGGTCACGGAGGAGCACAGCTCACCTCCCCGTCCTGCAGCTGGCTGCGATACAGTGACGTGGCTTTCTGCCTAGGCTACTGCAGCGTGACGCCCCGATGCCAGTTTCTGGACAGCACATCCGTCGAAGAGCACACACTCTGCCCACCCACATCAGCCACGACCCCCAGGAACTCCAGGTGCCATCCTGGAAGAGGACATGCCACGGAAGATGCTCCACACCAGCAAGGCACACAGCGGCTGAGGAACCTCCGCTTTTGGGAAAGCAGAATCCCACCACCATTTCACCAAGAGGCGAAGCAGCGCAGAGGTACCGTGTTGGCCACCTGCAAGTCCTGAAAGAGCCCGTGGGGTTTGGCGTCACGGCTCCCAGTCGTCGTTTCCTTCCTGTGATCCTGGTGTCACTCTCGCCAACCGCGAGCCGCATGTGCCATCGGAGCACTGGTGTTCTTCCAGGGCTGTTTGGCAGAGCGAGGCGCTGACCCACCCGATCTTCCTCGAACCCAGCACAGAGCAACAACCAGCACACGTGGCTGGTGAAGGCGACGCCAACAAACCCAGCTCCCAAAGAGACACGAGTGCTCTGCAAACCTCAGTCCTCTGAAACGGCAGCCCCTGAGACAATACACAGAGGCAGGTGTGCAATTTCTTGGGTTTTGCTTTTACTTTGTTTTATTCCACCCCTTCCTTTGCCACGACACGCACCCTGTATTAAATATCTTAAATATATTAATTTTTAAAAAGTATTAATAAAAAGCTACTGAAGGACACAGCTGACAGAGTGACCAAGGGAGTAGCCCATTGTAAAACGTGAGAACATTTAAAAAAACTGAAAACATGATGATTAAAAAAACGCAACTGGCTTGTTTTTTTTTGCATATGCGCAGCTGGCTGGAATACCCTGGACTCTGGTACTATTGCAAAAATGGAAGGGGAAGCAGTAGAAAAAATATATTCCATTGTACCAACCTGTATGGGGAAGGGAGTTAAGAGCAAAAATGAGAAGGCTTTAAACATTTTTGGTATTTCAGATGTTCCCTCCCACACCCACCACACCCAATCACTTCTAGTCTTTAAGCAAGCACAGCTGGCTGGAATACCCTGGACTCTGGTACTATTGCAAAAATGGAAGGGGAAGCAGTAGAAAAAATATATTCCATTGTACCAACCTGTATGGGGAAGGGAGTTAAGAGCAAAAATGAGAAGGCTTTAAACATTTTTGGTATTTCAGATGTTCCCTCCCACACCCACCACACCCAATCACTTCTAGTCTTTAAGCAAGTTTTCTGGCTTGGGGTAGCCAAAGAGTATAAAATCTGCTTCATAAAGCTTGTAGAGCTGCTGCCTCCAAGCCAAGGGGATTTTGGCAAACCAGTCATCTTCCCAGCTGCTGGCAGTCCTGTTCCGGTAGCTGGGGGGGAAGCGAAGCAGCCTGTCCACTTTGAGGAGCTGCAACAGATAAGCAGCATCCTCATCCAGCGTCTCCAATTTTCCGATGAAATCGTAGTCTATTTGGCACGGATGGCACAGCCGGTAAACTTGCCTCCAGTGCTCATTGAAAGGGACCATCTTCTCTGTCCTCGGATCCAGTAAGTACTGGATGAAGTCAGAAAAGGAGACTTTAAGGCCTGCCCCAAAGGCCTCTCTAACAGAGGTGGGAAGGTTGGTATGGTTGGAGTAGAGCTTCAGCATGGGGATGGCAAAACGCTGGTAGAACTCCTCATTCTGCAGCTCAAATTTGCTGCGAAAGGCAGAGATGAGGCGGACAAAAGGGTCTCGTACAAAGAGGAACTTGGTGTACTTCTTCAGCTTGATCTTCATGAGGTGCCGGGAGAACTTCCCATAACGGCGCCAGAATTTGTTGAAGGTCAAGTGGGTGCTGGTGTTGTGGACGTGCCCCCGGGGGATATCCAGAGGGTTCTGGTAGGGGACCCCCTGGTCCAGCAAGCTCTCACTTAGCACAATCATCACCCGTTTCCAGTTGGTGCAGGCCACCTTGGGGACGTAACAGTAGATGATGCCGTGGCGGTCATCCACAATCAGGTGGTTGAGCTCGTAGTTCGGGATGTCATCAAAGGAGCGCTCCTTGGTAGGGAAGGTGAAGCTGGAATTGGCACAAAACTCCCGCAATGTTCTCTGCCTTTCTAGCTGAAGCTTCTCTTGGTCCAGGCTGTTTCTGTCATTGTGTGTAGACCAGTCATAGCCCCGCACATTCTCCTCCAAATTGCTCACCACGGGCTTGCTAGAGCCCTGGACAAGTAGCTGCTGTGTCTTTTGGGGGATAGAACTATTTTGTTTTGGGCTTGAACTAAGCAGCTTTGCCAAAAATTCATCCACATCAGGCAAGGCTTCCCAGCCTTCACCTGCTGTGATACCAGGGATGGCTCCTGGGGAATGAGGCCTGGAGAAGGACGTATGCAGGTAGAAGTGAGCCGTTCCCACGTTGTCCCAGTACACGATGATCAGGAGGATCATGAAGATGGAGACCAGCACCACAGAGAGACGGAAGAGACGTGCTTTGGTCATCCTGACACCTAGGTGGCTTTCACCTGGATTTACCTCTGGTTTGCAGAGTGAGGCTTGGGATCCAGCATGGTGCTGCAGACCAGGAGCCTGGAAAGGTTCCAGAAAAAAAAACAAACCAAGTGTTAGTTGAACACTTTATCACCCGGCTAGGAGATAATGAACTTGCACAATCAAGACTCATCGCGGGGCTGACCATCCGTTTCCGCTTGGGCAGAGCTGTGCGAGTCTGAGAAGAGCTGACTGGCCAAAAGGAGGCATAATGTGTTGCAATTTTACCAGTTTCCATAGCAATCACTTTTTTTTTTTTTAAATCAAATCTCAAGCTTCTAGATTTATATGATTTCACGAGAAGCTCTCTTTCCGTTAAAAAAAAGAGAAGGCCTAGAGTTTAGAGAGGGAAGTTTGAGAGTATTAAAAAGTACAACTATACACAGAAAGCACGCAGAGCCAGCTAGCTTTCAGACCTCCCTGATTTTCAAACATATCTAACACAAGAAGAAAGAGGGCTCAAGCCATGATTTTAGCTTGTAGTATTGCACTGTGGTCTCATCTCCCCATGAAGGTGCTCTGTACCACTGTGCTGAAAACAAAGACCCTTCTGGAGTTACAACTAAATAGCTGAAGATGCCGTTGCCTTAACGGCTAAAGCAAGCCCCCACTGAGAGAACGACACCGACCTGAACGCACCATCTCATCTGTGTCAAGGTACCCTGCAGATGTCACCTCCACGACCTTTCTTGGTAGCTACTTCATTTTGTCAACAACAGAGATTATACAGTTTTCCTACAAAAAGCCCCAAAGGGACACGGCCCCGATAAGAGCCACACACCAATAAAAATCTAAAGGAATGATTACTTCTAAGGGAATGACTTCTGAGATTAAGGATGCTGTGGTAAATCTCTGTTCGCAGCCACACTCTTTAGAGTCAGGATTCCTTTTCCTGCTTTAACGTAATTTATATTTCTGTCACACTCATCCCTAACAACTCAAAGACAGGTGAGAAATCAAAGGGCAGCTCAGAAGATCTTTTCTGGACAGTGCAGCAGGTTGTTTTGGTTTTTTTAACTCAGCCAGTCCCATTTTGTCACTGCTGCCTACTTCCCCGCTGACTCCCAGCCCCTTTCCACCAGCAAGTTCCCCAAGGCAGACACGTCTCCCCATGCTGCTGCATGTTTTCTGGTCCAAGGCTCCGGGCAGAGGCAGGCTAGCAAACCAGCCTTGCTCTCTGCCCAAGCGATCAAGGAGCCAGTGCCTACAGTCAGGGAAGAGCAACATAGTAAAGTGAGGAGGAGCTATCTTATATTTTGAGAGAAAAAACAGTGTTTGCTGTTTTACAGTCTCTCTCTGCAAGTTTTAACATCAAAAGACAAGCAAAAAGTAGTCATGCAAACCTCCTCCTCCCCTCCAAGCCGAGTCAAGCCCTCTCTGCCCAAGCGATCAAGGAGCCAGTGCCTACAGTCAGGGAAGAGCAACATAGTAAAGTGAGGAGGAGCTATCTGATATTTTGAGAGAAAAAACAGTGTTTGCTGTTTTACAGTCTCTCTCTGCAAGTTTTAACATCAAAAGACAAGCAAAAAGTAGTCATGCAAACCTCCTCCTCCCCTCCAAGCCGAGTCAAGCCCCTAATTATAAATACAGAACAGCACCTACACATAGAAAGCAAGAGCCACCCTTCCTGCAGACATCTCCATTCTTCAGGACAAACCCTACAAACACCAGCTCTGAAAATAAAACCACTTCAGGGTAAGCTGCCCTGAAAAGCTTTTCAAAACGAAGACTGGGTCTTTCTTCCTCCAGAAACAGAGAGGTTGCTCCCCAGCCAGTTCGCGAGCCACCCTTACACGGCACCAATCCCACTCTGTACAGGGATGTGAAAAACCTGAGAGTCCAGACAGGCAAAAGTGCTGAGCTCTGTCATTCCTGGGGGAAACACACTCAGCATCTTTGAAGCTCACAGCAGCCTTGCATTGAAGCCTTGTCTAGAGAGCGATTTATGTGAATGTGCTTATGGCCTCGGGGATGCCAGATTTTAACATTCAAAGTGCTGGTTTCAAACACCATACCAAAAGCATTAGACCAGATACAGTTACATATCAAAGAACTAGCTCAGCTTGTCCCAAAAAATGCAGAAGCGAAGGTTTAGAGCTCCTCTACCCTAGTGTATTTATTCACACTTTGGAGGTAGGGAGAGCCAGAAATTCAGCATAACTGTAGCTTAACACATGGCTTTGCACTGCAACACCAAACACTGTGTTTCCTGGAGCCAGGCTCCTATTCTGCACGTGAAGAGAAGCTAGAGGAACTGCAGACACAACACTTTGCACTCTGCGGAGCAAGAAGCAGGTATTACTCAGCAGTAATCCTCTATGTTTACCTCATCAAGAATGAGGATGGAACAGATCTAAGAAGAAATGCCCACAGAGATGAGCCTGGAAATAGAGAAGGGGCAAATTACATACTGTCGTCAGCACTTCACGCCAAGCATCTCGGTCCAACAGCAGAAGATAATGGAGTGACTCTGCCAAACCTACTGCTTGGCACACTCCTGGGTTTGCGTTTTGCCTGAATCTGTTCTTGCTTTCGAGCTGGTTAGCTGTTCAGGGCAGGAACTGCTTCCCATTCTGGATGAACAGGGTACCCACTGCACACATAATCCCATGCGCACCGGGGTTCCAACGCTGCTCAAGACCTTTCGGCCGGCTGGAATGCAGCAAGCCTGGAAAGCTGCACAGAGCATTCCCTTCTGCCGTCCCTAAACCCAGCAGCTTCCACAGCTTCAGGCAGCGCAGCACCCTGCCAGCATTTCTTCAAAGCTGTCCCACCCCAGCATGGACGGATCACCCTCTAGGCAGCAGCGACAGAAGCAGAGGAGACGCTGTGTGTGGCACACGCATTCCTCAGGCAAACGCCACCACCATAACGTAGCTTTACCGAGCACACCCCAAGGGCTGCAGCTTGCTTTCCAGGACACAGCATGCAGGCCTGCCAGAGCTTTCGGCTTTTCCAAGACACACAGCAGCAAGCAGCACAGAATCGAAATGACTCCACTTCTATTAACTCTATCAGTGCCAGAGAGGAATCTTGGAAAAAAAAGCAGTAACATGGCTTAATTCCCCCTCACGAGAAAATCGCTGAAGAAAAGAGTTGCTCTACTGACGGCAGCACATCCACTTCCTTAGCACTTCATAAAAGAGACCAGCCTGAACGCACAAATTAGAGGTCTCTGTGCACATCAGAGGGAGCGTGCCTCCATCCTTGCCTTGCCAGAATCAAAAGGAAAAGCCTCCAGGACGAGCCAAGAATTTACATTCAAGTTTAACCCAAAGTCACCAGCCAACAAGAATGTGCACCAGGATCCACACAAAGCTGCTTCTGTGGCAGGACGCTGGCAAACCGGGAAACGGACCAAGTGCTATAATCATCCTATAGAGGCCCCCTGAGCAGCCATCCTGTGCTCATCTCCAACCTGAACCTGGCCTGGATAAGAACCAAGGACTCTTCTCTCCATGCCAGGCCCGAGAAAGACACTGAGGTCCAAGGCCACTGGTCCCATCCTCTCCTATCACAAGCTGCCACATCAGATAATCACCTCTCAAACTCACATTTAAAACCAGTAAGGGGGGAATGTGTCCCCATTGCTCTTATTGCAAAAGCTATTGCAGATGCAACTCCTCAAAGATTTGGAAACTTTACTTGCACTTCACTGTCCGTTTTAACAGTTTATTCTCAGGGTAAACAGCAGCTTAAGTAATACCTGCCTCTTTCTTCCTTTCCTCTTGGCTTTGTGCAAGGACTACCTTCTCTCACAGCCTCTCTCTGCAAAAGAGAGTAACTCCAGCTCACTTACAGGAGCAGTAAGGCATACAGAAAACAAAGGAGCTTACACACGACTGTGTACTCGAGACAGGGGACAACAACTCCCGTCTGTCAACAGCGATGGCTTTGAAGGGACTGTGCCTCCAAAGGCTTGGGTGCAGATTCCATCTCTTCTTGCTTTGTGTTTCCTCAGGCTTGTTCCTCTCCTCCTGCTCCTCACTCCCCACAGGGAAGCACAAGGCACATACCGGGCACTAAGCACCAGCTCACCTCCTCCAGTACCCACTCATCCTAATGTGAGAAGATACGGGACTTCAGGTAGCTTGCTTGGGCCTTCCATTCTGAAGATGGAAAGAGGTAGAATGAGAACTTAAAAAAAATATACAAAACCCTCAAATTCAAACAGATACTATCCTAAGGGGCAGCTGTATTCACCAGCAATTGCTCAATCCATGCAGCTTTCTTCACCCACCTGTAGCCCGTTACATTCAGGGAATCAGCAAGCTCTAGAGAAGTAGAACCAACTTAACCTCCTGCAGGTGTAGGAAGATGAGCTCCCAACAGCCAAAGCAGATGAGGGCTGTACCAATAACCAGAAACAAATTTCATACACTTGGCCATCACTCAATAAATTGCTTCTGCCCAGCTTTCCAAAAATCTAGCACTCTTTGCAGAGCAGGAAACTTTTAACCCATGTAAAGACATCGACATTTAAATTAACATAAATGCACAGCATCAGAAAAGAACCAGGGCTTGCATTGCATGTTTTACCCCAGCTTAGCACTTACATGCTAAAGACCAGCAAAACAATGTCCTCATCTACGCACCTACCTGGGCGCCTTCCCTGCCATTGCTGCCACAAAGCCTGGTTTGTACAGGCTCGGCAGCACCAGTCGCCTCTTTTTTAATATGCCTAACTTGGAAGTTGTCAAGAACGACATTTCTGAGATTTCCAGTGGGAAACTCCCAAGACGCAGCACATCCCGTCTGTTCACTAACTTTGTTGCAAACTTGAAGCACGCCCATCCTTCCTCGCTTTACAAACACTCCAAGAATCTCAGCGAGCCTCGGTGCCTACAGCCTGGCTCGAATAAAAAAAAAGCCAAGCCAAAGCCCAGGACACTTGCTGTATGTCGGTGACGCCCCCTGCCCCTCTCGCCGCTGGCGTTTGCCTCACAAACACCTGATTTCGGCAGAGTTTTCTGTTGCACACGCAGCTCAGCTCCGGGCTGAAGTTTCCTGAGTGAAGTTCCAGCGGGATTCATCCC